CGAGCGGTAAACGGACGAGCCGCTGTTACGGTCTGCGGTACGGAACGCCCACGCGAACGAACGCTCACATGCACGCACGCACGCACGCACGCACGCACGCAGGCGCGCTACACATGCACGCTTAGTGCTAATCCACACAGTACGTTCAGACGAACCATGGCCTGGTCATAGCGAGTGGGAGCGAATCAAAAACAGCTACAGTTCGCTGTATAATCTATAATACGCATCTACATAATGATATCATTAATCGGATTACATAACGTCCGCTATTAGTGTGAGGATGAATCATCCACGAGCGAGCACCATCACGCCAGCCGGTCCACCACCGAGCTAGCTTAAGTACTCCGACCAATACTAACGACATCATTCCCTGAACCAATACACTAACCGTTTCACCGGTGTTCGCGTTAGTGCTAACACAAATTTACCTACACAGCCGCCTTGCTCCACATCGGCGTCCTTATTCCCACACTCTCTCACACACCCACTTCTAATGATGAATCCATCATTATTTGTTCGATATTTCCGCAAATGCGTCATAAGTGGGAGAGGATTTTTAGCTATTCGTAGTTCTGCTATTCACATGTCGCGGGTAGAAGATGGATTTCCCTAACGCCTGCTGCATTCATCACGGACCCACGTCCGCGGTACACGCGCTTACCGGGTTACACATCAACACCTTTTATCTCGCAACACAATAGACCCCCAATTAAAAGCAGGTACTACGTAACGGCAGCTACAGTGCACGCACGTGCGGTGGCACCTTTCTCTAAGTGGCGTATAATTAAAGGGGCTATCCCTACTAAGTGCGAGCACACCTATCGATGCACGCGGGTGTAATTAATATCTAAGGGTCGGTAACTAGGAGATTGGGATATTCAAGGAAAGTGGTCTCATTTATAGCTGTGCCATCATTTCCATGCGGCGTCGTTTGTTCGGCAAGTCAAACGCTTATATCTGAAAGTGTGTTTAAAATTGTAAATTCTTTGACCAGCTATAAATAAACGACCAAAAGGGTTGGCTGTGTAGCGGTCAATAGGAAAGCAAGTAGGATATAATACTGTATGCTACACTAGAAGTATCTTGTTTCTGGTAGGTTACATGTGATGTTAGTAAGACACGTGTGGTCTGACAGTCTGACACCTGTGCTTGGGCTCGAGGGGGAGAGTAAACCGGATGGAGATTACACTGGCGCATCTACGTTATTATGTTGTTTTCGGCTTTTCGCGGAAAAACCGCGAGGGGGCCTATCTACCAGACAAACAGTGTAGCTGTGAGCGATAGCCCAGAGTTTAATTGTTCAGCATACAACCATCGACAAGTAAACTAGGTCAACAAGTAGATGCTCGTCTTCAGCCAGGAATGTTAGACCAGGTGGGCAGGTAGGTACGTGCCGGACAATACTATAGGTAGCTCTACCGGTGTCGCCCCTTCGTTCCCGCTACAGGTAGAATCCGGGACCGGGTCCTGTAACGGGAGCGAAGGGACAACACCGAAAGAGATATAACAGAGTCAGACTAACTCAGTTGGTAACTGGTAGCTATTATAACTATGAGCACGATTTCTGTGCACTTGAATGCACGTACCTTGGAACGTGAAGGCACACGCACGTGGGTACACCGATAAATGCCCACGTCGCTATCATAGCGAACCATGAACCAGCACAGAGTCCTCACAGACTCAAGATTTACCCCTTACGAGCTTTTTAACGGATTCCAAACGCCATTATTGTCCAGTAGTACATGTCACCTAGCAGCCTACTTAGCATAAAAACCCCAACAAACACCCACACTGATTATAGCAAAGCAGATTTTCACGGGAGAGGTGACGCTAGATGGAAAAAAATCCGCCTCCAATTTAAATGTCACTGCAGGTGTGGTTCGTGGCGTGGTTCAGAGCATGCCCAAGTAGATAAATAGTGTGTATTAACTATAATTCCGCATTTCACCGACGTAATAGCATATTATTATAGCTGGGTATATTTTATTAGGTCACATCTAAAGAACTGCTAGTAGCTACGCTAATTCCTCGAAACTGGCTAACAGTAACAGGAACATTTTCACCATTCACCTTTTCCTGAGAGCTATTAACGTGTTCACAAGCCGTGCAGTCAGTCACGACCCACTGCCAACCCACGTCAAACTGCACAACACGTGTGACTTTCCGCAAAACGTTGTTCTACCCTGCCCTTCCCCATCTGCCGCTCACCCTACGTAGATCATATATATATGTAGATCACATAAAAGTGAAAACCATGCCACTAGCGCACTGACGGACATCATCATTCACTCGTTCACTGTAGCCGACTACAAAGACAGCAGCAGACGACAGATTCATTACGCTACATGGAATTCCACGTATTTTCTTGTATATTCCTCCACTCGACGTTGACACGCGGCGGTACATTCCACCGCTACGAGCCATTACAATGTACCGTACTTTTATGTAATGTACGGTAATTTACAAGTACAGCAATGTACAGTAATTTTATGTAATGTAATGTACAGTAATTTTACAAGTACAGCCCTCAATAAATCCTTCCCACCTCCCACCCAAGATAGCGATACGTGTCGCCACATGTTTTCGATTAGTAAGAGTCACATGACCCCAAAAATCACCGAATAGTGTCAGCCTACTGTACGATCTCATAGATTTTTACTTGACAAACTATGTAACGCCAGTGGGCACTGGGTAGCAGTATCCACAAGTCTTATTTCTTTTATCGGACAAACAGAGAGTGAAATGAGCGCATCTTACTCTTGGTCGTAAACCTAGAAAAGCGGCTGTCGATGCGTTCGTATTGAGTACGCCGTATATCTTTTTTTAAGTAGGTCATTCTTTTATTCGGCCACGAAAGCTCCCTCCCTTCAGTAGTTACATCCCAGTAGACTCTTACATACACATATGCATATATGCCTCATGTTCTGAAACGCCCCTGCTTAAGCATCTACACCAGATGTGACGTGCAGCGCAATTTTGAAGGAAAACTAGAAACGTCACTATAACGTGCAATCACCGAGAGATTTTTTCTGCAACCAATACGCCCGCTATGTGGGAATTGACGACCACCACCCCGCCGCCTCGTTATTTTAGCAGCAAGCGCACAGCAGCTTCAGTACCACTGGTAACAGCAGCAGCAGCAGCAGCAGCAGCAGCAGCAGCGCAGGTTTTCCTGAAGTGCCACGTCAGCCAACAAAACAGCGGCCCCGTGGAACGAAGCCGAGAAATCAACACTGAACCTTCGCAAGATCTCTACGCTGTACATCTGAAGCATGGCAACGCTGCTACCAACCCACATTCTATCCTTGAATCGTACCATAACAGCCTCAACGCGTGACTTATCTCTAAGAATACAGGGGTAGAAATTAACTTTTGAACAAGGGAGTCCAACGGACACCCTGCCCTCAAAAAGAAGGAGTCTGCAGCAAAATGAAGGGGTCCGTAGTCTGAAGTTTCAAATTAAAGATTTGCTGAAAAAATACGGTAATTCCGCGAGGCCGTGCTCTGGAACGAACTAGTTAGTATAGCAGAATTTTCAGGGAGTCACACGGACTCCCACATATGTCAAATCAGGGAGTCCGACAGTAAATCAGGGAGTATTTGACTCAGTACTCGCGTTAATTTCGCACCCTGCGAATACAGGACTCTATTTGGCATAGAGTGCCAGTGGCTACACTGTGCTCCCATTCCTAGTGTAGATGCACAGTATATCTTTTGAAAGCATACGACTGAAGACTGGCCTTTGAGGCAAAATATTCGCCGTATTAAAGCTCATTGTTTTAATGTATGTACACACAGCAGCTATACATTTACACGTGAATGTAGCAGCTGCTGCTGACTGCTGCAGATCACTGCACTGAGGCGATGCACGGGTCTGTAAAACGACCTGGTCGCACAACTGTACCTACGTGTGAATTATACATGAATCACAGCCGACTAGGTTACAGGAAGTCCCACCCAAACAGTTCGCTACTAATTACGGCAACTCTTCTGTAATAATTCAATTTAGCTACACAAAGGGGGCAGTATTCAGAGCTGAGAGACTAATGGATTGAGCTTGCGAAAATTATTCGATAATTAGCTAGATAACAATTATGAATACATAAAATGTTTACTATAGGTTAAATACAATATAGTCATCAAAGTAACTGATTTGACACTAATTACACATAATGACAGATTAAATTAAAAAAATATTTTGTTTCACAGCTAAAAATGACTTACAAACGCAGACGTATTGTAAGTGAATTCAGGTCATCACACCTCATTCAAAACAGATTCAGATTGTCAAAACATTGTAGTTTGGTCTGCTACTGACGAAAACTAAAAAGGCTCACACAATACAGATTATTAGTTACTGTACCACTCACATACTGTACATGTATGCCCATACAAAAATTAAGAAAAATTGTACACAATTTAATTATAGTTATACGCATATAGGTTGGAGTGAGGGAATATGTTTTAAGTCGGATGTGACTAACACTGTTTTGCTCTTCATCTCTTAAATGAATTTTGGAAGGTAGTTGGGTAAATTGATGCTATTGTCCAGTTCCTTATCACAGTTCATGTAAACAAGAAATAGTAAAATGCTTACTTGATCAGTTTTCTCTAGTCAGATCTCAAACATATGGGCTTCATATAGTTATATGCATAGTTAGCATTCTTTTGTGAAAGAGGTAAATGTTGAATCACTACCAAATTTTATAACCCTATAAAATAGGCACATTCAATACAAGAAAACCAACCAGTATGACCTTTAATAAGTTGATTCCCCTTCAAAGAACGAAGAAAACGATGGCTGGTAAAGCAAGGAGCATGCATAGTTCATTTTCACAACGAGTAAATTAAGGGTCAAGTCAGCATTTAGTTCTCTCTCTATATTTGATGCATCGTTAAGCAGGAGGTTTATACAATTGGGTCTCAGAGTAGGCCTTGCACTGTAAGATTAAAGATATCACACACAACACACAACAGTGTCTGGCTTGGTGTATACTTACAGCTCCTCCCGTTGCCTCTGTGACAGCACCATGACAAGTGTATCTGAGTGACGATGTGTGACTCAATATCAGTTTTTCTATCCGTTCCCAACCGAACGTAATCACTGGCTGCACAAAATGAAGTGAGCACAAAAAACCAGTTTTCCAAATCTGGTTCAAATTCTTTCAGGAAGATGAGAGGCAATTCCGATATCCTTCCAAGATCCAGATAATATCCCAGAAATAAGCTTGGTTTCACAAAGACATCCGTTGCATTACTCTGGTAAAATAGACAATGGAAATTAGGTGGTGGAATTATATCGGCAACAATCAAATAAAACTAATTTTCTCAATTAAACTCGTTTTTTGACTACAAGTGACACTGTAACAGGTAGTACTACTACTACTACTAGTAACACTAACACTAACGCTCATAGGGTCTATGTCCCCCAGGGTACTGTCGAAACGTACCCTGGGTACGGTCCGGTATACCGGAACGTACCCTGGTAACTATCTGATATGGTTAGGGTGGTTCAAGAATAGAGAACATGGGTCCCAATAAAACCAATGTCATTTACATCAATATAAATATAATATTATATCAATATAATAATAGGTTAGGGTTAGGGTTATGGTTAAGGTTATGGTTAGGGTTAGGATTCAGGTTAGGGACATTGGTGTTATTGGGACCCATGTTCTCTATCCTTGGGCCGTTAGGGTTAGGGTTAGGGAGTAGGCGTAGGAGACTCCCTAGACTCGTTAGTGGAGTAGGCGAGGTACAGTCCGGCATATTAGATAGTACCAGGGTACGTTCCGGTATACCGGACTGTACCCAGGGTGCGTTCTGGCAGTACCCTGGGGAACATAGACCCTCTCAGCAACACTAACAGTAACACTACAGTAACAGCTCCTAAAAATCACAGGCAAGCAACATCAAAAACACTCGAGTAAAACCTTGACCGTCAAGAACGCACAACCAAGTCACTAATAAAAATTAAGCTAAATAAAAAGAGACACAAATTACAATCAGAAGAAATGCACGACGATTCCGTGTAATTGCGTAAAACACATGATCACTAAATCGAAATATAAACGTGATATCTCAAGCCAAAGGAATTTTGACGGCCATCTTCGTCATTTTCGGGCGGATGCAGCTGGCAGCTTGGAATAAAGATAATATTACAGACTTATACTAACTGCAGTAACTTCAAACAAATTAATATTGATAGAATAATGCTTATTCTTACCCATCTTCAATGAACAACAGCAATCATATCTCAGAGACTAGAACAATTTAAACAATATTTCAGAAGCAAGTTTACTTCTGAAAAATTTGCGGTGGAGAAATTTCCCACAATGCAGCATAACGTTGACACCAACGGCCAATAAGTGAACAGCAAATAACGTGCGATCCTTAGCGAGATTCCTCAGTTTCTTGTGAATAATCATTTTCCATTATCGGGGATGAAATCTTGCTACGTCTCTGTATAAGTTACAAGTTAATGGCGGTATTTATTCTTGCTACTCTTACTCAGCGTGAATAAGTTAAAGTTATGTGCAATTACCTAGGCAATGGCAACTGCGTCGAAATATTGCGAACATGCAAGCGACAGTGCTGCCAATAAAGTGTATGAATCCATAGCGGTGGCGTCTATACGAACTACGACTAGCCTAAATCTCAAGACAAATGCTCTCAATCTGACAATCAGTCAATGTGACAATGACAATAGTAATAGTAATTTTATCAGGAGTAAAAAATATTCAATATGCCATATTCAAAATTATATTTTTTTGACGATCCGGATATCCTACGTACATGTTTGTGCGTGCGCTCAACTGCGTGGGTTTGTGTGAGGAAGTTGAACCCTACTCAGGCTGAGAGGGTCTATGTCCCCCAGGCCCAGGGTACTGCCGGAACGTACCCCGGGTACGGTCCGATATACCGGACCGTACCTCGCCTACTCCACTGACGAGTCTAGGGAGTCGCCTTCGCCTACTCCCTAACCCTATCCCTAACCCTGACCCTAACCCTAACCATATCGAATAGTTACCAGGGTACGTTCCGGCAGTACCCTGGGGAACATAGACCCTATGAGCCCTACTCAGTACTCCATTACCCTAGTCACTCTTACAGTAAGTGAGTCATACCCCATGCCTTGGCATGTGCCTTAGCTTGGTTGGGGGGGGGGTGCTTAGCCTCACACACTGACTCAGTTCAAGCCACTAAACTCTGACTGGCAAAGCTTGTCACAAAATTTGGATGATCATTACTACATTAGGTTGTAATTATCAGTGTTATTGTTAGTGCAGAAACTAACCAATGAAATCAAAAACTAACGTCGTCGCAGTTGTCACGGTGTCACAGTCTGTGATTCTCTTTCTAACTTTCATATTGGAATTTTCTTCCTTTAGGTTTGGTTTATTGAGAAATTGAAGCTTTTTCTTCTGCAATCTGCAGTTTTGATTTGTACATCAGTTCAACTTTGTCATTCTCTGTCTTTGATATAGTCCCTTGGACTTTGAAAACTAATCATTATGACCATGAGGTTATGAGGTTACTTGTTTTAGTTTGGTTTCAACATCATTCACTTGAATATTATAAGTAATGCAAAACTAATGCACTTGACATGTAGCATCTTTTGCATTTTTTGACTATGAAAGGAAAACACGTATCCACAATTTCAATAGATGAGAAGCAGTTTTATTTGTCACCATGCATCACCTAGTTAACATGGCAGCACACAGAAACTGGCAACACTTTACACACATTTGGCTCTACACAACAATGTAAGTAACAGTATATGGACAATTTTAACATGAAGTCATTGTATGACTGTAAAAAAACTCAACTGTTAAATATATGTTTATAGTTGCATCACATCTGATATTTTGACATGAATCAATGTTCTATAAGAGATGAACTAATGCATTACAATACCATACCAGTGCCATACCACCTGAGAGATGAATTCTGATGAAAATTTCAATTCATGGTTTAATCAGAACATGATTACATCAGTTAAAAATCTGTGCCATAATTGTATTGAGCTATTGGCTATGTACTACTGGCCTTACTTATACATTTCATCCAGAGAATATAATATGCACATAATATTCTCATAACTAAATTGTTCATTCTTAATGTCCCCTTCAAGAAGCATCATTTCAAGCCAAGTCATCCAATAAAATTATGCAGAGAAAAATAATTTATAAAGTGTAAATTTTAATGGTTAAATCATTCAACATTATATATAGGACTATACTATGCATGCAGAAAATGCAATACAGTTAATTTGACTGTATACCTACTCGTTTTGAAACGCTGAGGTCAGGTTACTGCAAACTAGTAATAATTTAATAGTGCCCAACCCAAGTATACTGCATCTCTACATGCAACAAAATGTGATTGTAAACTGGTATATTACATGGTTTACTGGTTAAATGGTAATATTATGCCCAACACAGTAAGAAGACTATAACTAACTAAAAAAATGCCGTCATTTTAACAGTCATACACTAAAGTTACTACAACAGGCTACAGACGTCTGGTAAAAAACTACACCATGTTAAAAAGTCATCTGCCTTTGCACTTTATATCTCAGAGTCTTCACTTCGCAATAGAAATCACTGTATAACGATGAAATTTTTTTTGTACCATTGAAGTATTTAATCACAGCAGGAACAGGAGTACTGAGTACAATAAATTTATATTTCATGCGGTGGGTGGTATTTTTAACCAGGTCTGTAAGTAAATGCTTGGTGCGATAGGGAGCACCTGTGTCTTCCATTATTGCTTCTTCCTATTCCTAAAGTTTAGACATTGGCCACAGCCATGAGCTAGGCTGGGGTATCATCATCAAGTTATCCACACCTTGTTGAACAACTCCATGAAAGTGTCGTACACCATGAAGGTGATGGCCACGTCGAGACAGACTCTACTTAACCGAGGCACCACACCCTTGTAGAACCTGGTGAGGTGAGAACATGGAATTACTATTACTGTTGCAGTTAGCAAATTAATACATGACTATTACTTTCAACAAGCACTTAATATTGATTGTATTTGAGCCATCTCTAGATAATATAAGTCAAGCAATGAACTTGGGATTTGCAGTATACAGGAATATAAAATTACAGGTGAAATATCATCAAAAGTGTAATGTAGGTTAAGTCATAAAGAATGTCTGAAATGTAGATTACTGACTCCATTATTTGAAGAAAAAATTTAATACAAAAGCGATGGTGTTTTTTAAATTGTTCACTTGTAATAATGAAATATCGTGTAACGAAATCAGCACAGTAAATCTCAAAACACTGCTACTCACGCTAGTGGTCCTTCCTTCGTCATTATCTTAACTAGACAGTCCCAGGTGCCCTTATATTTGTGCGCCTCCAGACCCTGGTTTGAACAAAAAAGTACAAACTAAAACAGCAGCCCATAGACAAATTTCACAATACTTCACTTATTATGCAGATAAGCTGGGACAAAGTTCGCATTCTAATAAAGAGAAATTTAACAGCCAGCATGCCTATGATGCTCTGTAGCAGTTTGAATGTTTTTCAATTAAATCCTTGCAAAATATAACCCTTTAAAATGCTATTATCTAACTTGGGCATTAATTTACAATTACACTGTTCAGCCATGGGAAGATGGCTAGGGTGTGGCTTAGCTTAAGCTTATTAAAATTTTGGGTGGGTGGTAGGACTGCGGACTAGTTGACCCTCAACGCAATGAATCTATAGCTCAACCAAAAGAATTCGAAACTGACTCCCGAGTTGGCCCACAATACAGCAGGTTATTCATCGAAATTTTGGGATGAACATGCCCTCATTGTTGGTAGTATACGTTAACCTGCAGTAAAACCTAAGGAAGTCAACTGATTTACCTGTAATCTGGTCTTCACTACGTCAAGTGGGTTGTTACCGAATACAGACACGGCTCCTGCCATAGCACCGAATCCTCCAACGATAGCCTTATTCACAGGCTTGTTTGGATCTCCGCCTCTGTAGAATTATGTTAGGTCATGTACCATCTGCATGCACTAGGCTGACAATAACTGACATGGATATTATCGTTTTAACTGCATGGATATAATTCCTATGTTAATATCATTTGTATAACTATTAGCAGGAGTGACATAATATAGATACCTATGTTATGTCACTCCTGATATTACTACTTCACCCCTACCATTTGTAAGTATTATCAACATCAATTTGATTTTGCTGATGGTAACATGCATTGGCAGTTGTTTTGAAAGGGCAACAGGGATACTGCAACTATTTAAGAAACGGAAAGAGATAAGGTGGATAATAATTACAGAGAATTACGAAGTTCTTATCTGAAGTTTATGACGCACCTATACCAATCCTTCAAAGTTTCCATGACAAAGAATCGCATAGCTTGGTTTGAGCCTTGTTTCATCATTGTAGGAATCAGACCTTGGTATGTTCCACGGATGCCTGCAATTGCATTGAAGTTAACCAAAACTGGGTGAAATTAGACAAAGTGCAATGACATAAAATTTCTTCTTAGAGACACTCAATTAAAACAAACTTTAATATGAAGATAAACTAAAATGCTACCAGAGGCATAAAAACTGTTCTACCAAAGCCATGTGGTTATCAACTTAAAAGTCTGGTAATCTGATGACAGTAATACGTGTTACTTATATTATAAATTCGTGACAAACCTTGAGTGCGGATGATTTCCCGCACCCCGTGGAAGAAGCCTTTAAACTTGGGCTGCGCAGACTGCTGATCGTTGATGAACTTGGTCTGAAAGTCAAAAAACAACATCTGTGAATGTTTCTGTGCACACTTTACCTATCACTGTCAACAAGAGGACATTTTGTCAATGATTGTAACAAAACATACATCTTATTACGATAATACGTCACTGCAAAATGCGTAAATGTGGTCATAGCTTGTTCAGATTAATTCGTTGCACAGAATAAAGCAAACACTGCACATCGGTGACACTGCAACAATGACCTACCTTTATCGTTTCCATCGGTGCCACAGCAATAATGACCTACCTTTATCGTTTCCATCGCTGCCACAGCAATAATGACCTACCTTTATCGTTTCCATCCGTGCCACGGCAATAATGACCTACCTTTATCATTTCCATCCGTGCCACAGCAATAATGACCTACCTTTATCGTTTCCATTCGTGCCACAGCAATAATGACCTACCTTTATCGTTTCCATCGGCGTCACAGCAATGATGGCTTCCATGACGCCGGCTCCTAGGCCACACATCAGGCGATTGACACCCGACAGCGATCCATTCTCGTCGACGGCTTTGAGTTTGAGCTGCTCGAAGGTGCCAAACCTGCGTGTGGCACGGTAGAATTACGGAACGACGTCTACCTGATGCAAACCAACTACAGACAAACCTGTTAGTTGTCACCTCTAAAGAATGGACACCTGCCTGTCAATGACATTTAGCATTTCCCTTGACTGGTACAGTGTAAGCTGTACAGTGAAACAATTTCTATAGAACAGACATCCGATTACAAAAGACACACTGCCCTTGAATCACTCTTACATACAGGTTTGACTGTGACAATTCTGCACGCAGATACTTATGAAATCGAGTTGCAGTGAAATGGTACTTTTATTTACATCAACCCTTCACTCACTCATTCGACAAACTCACCCTGATGGCCTGGACTGGGTCCAAAAGAGACCCAGTTTGTGTGGACCGTACTTCTCAACACTTACCCAGAGGCAAGATGAGGATTTTGGGAGACGGACGATTCAGGTACGGTTACGCACAATCTGTGCCCAACGGATGGCTCAGGCAAGGTAGGACGTGTTGTGATCCGTACTGACCGAAGATTTGAGAAAGGTAAGATGAATGGAATGGCAAATGCATACTCAGCACAGATAGACTGCTGGAAAACTCCCAGATCTGATACAGGCACGCCCAGTGGGAGAATAGGGCTTACAGCCTGCATTTATCTATAATTTTATACTAACAGACTATTACTCTTCTATCTTATCTATATGTCCGTTTATCTGATCTTATTTATTTGTGTTATCTTAGTGTTCTTGAATTTATTTTCTATGGATCTTTTACCAACAACGTAACAATGCAATTTTCAGACACCCTGTGCTTGAAGATTTGGAATGTTGATTTATTTGCAATCTTAGAAGCACGTCATCAGTCTGGCTCTGCATACCTGACTCCAACCTTTGGTACTGCTCCAACCAGCAAGGGACTGAGACCTCTGTATAAGCCTTTGACTCCATGCCCACGCACAGTCTTTGCAACACAATCGAAGATGCCAGTATACCTGCAAGAAGAAATGAATTACACCGAACTCATGCCATAAAATGAAAACTAAAGTGTACCATTGGATACTGACATTGACTGATTGACAACATTATCTAATAGTTATTCATGTTACCATTTGTTTCTCACAAAGGTATGTCTTATGTAGCCAGCCGTAAGTCATTCAGAATCTATTTCATCATTTTTCGTGTTATTCACGAGAAAATGTAATCTTACCGGGGTTTAGCTGACCGCTCAGATAGCTGAAGCTGTGTTTTTACGTATTCCGTGGGAAAAGTAATGCATATTTCTATAGCACCGGTAAAGCCACCTGAAATGATAAAATAAAATAAATAATAAATAGTTTTATGAGTGCAAGGAATTTACGATTGCAAAACACTGTATCATGCATTACATTTGGCTCTATCTCCGGTATAGACTATAGCCAGCCGGTCTGCCCTGGGCTACATATGTAGGCCTATATTAATGCATGAATGCTCAGTCATACGTTCAGCAACAGGGTTGCAATTGTTGGCTCATAGAAAAATATAGATCGACTGTATTGTACAATTCAAGAATACGAAAGTTTAATACATATGTCACTCATATAATTAAACATGTTAGGCGTCTAATCACTACCATTACCAATGCTCACATGTACACAACACAGTTTATTCAGATTGTGCAATGAGAGTAGTGACGCTCATAGGGTCTATGTCCCCCAGGGTACTGCCGGAACGTACCCTGGGTACGGTCCGGTATACCGGAACGTACCCTGGCCACTATCATACATGCCAACATTTTTTGAATGAAAAGCGGTAGATCCGCGTGCGACGCAGTCGCGCGCGCCGCTAGGGGGGTCTGGGCCTCTGGGGGCTTGCCCCCCCAGGAAAATTTTCAAAAAATGGTGCTAAATGGTGCCTTCTCCTGCATTCTGGGGAGTAATTGGACTGCAATAGAATACATTAGAGATACATTACATACATTTATTAGAGATAAAATGAAAAAAATGGAAAAAAAAGAAGTTTTTTCAAAATATTTTGCAATGCGGTAGGAATAGTATTAAAAGCGGTAGGCGGTAGAAGTCTTCAAAAAGCGGTAGTCTACCGCGTAAAGCGGTAGGGTTGGCATGTATGCACTATTTGATATGGTTAGGGTTAGGATTAAGGTTAGGGTTCGGGTTAGGGAGTAGGCGTAGGCGACTACCTAGACTCGTTAGTGGAGTAGGCGAGGTACGGTACGGCATATTAGATAGTACCAGGGTACGTTCCGGTATACCGGACCGTACCCACGGTACGTTCCGGCAGTACCCCGGGTCCCGGGGGACATAGACCCTATCACTATCAGCAGTAGTGACCTTCGCAATTACAAGAACCCACATAACTTCATGAATAAGCTCGAAACATGCCGTCTTCGAATAATCGACTGATTGGTGTACATTTATCGATAGTATAATCGACGATCAATGTTAGATGCTGAATTTAATCATTATTAAACTGGAGTTATTCTCACACGATGACACGACCCTCGTGATCTAGTAGTGTTAGTGCAGTAGTGGCTGTTTTACGATAAGCCTACCTCACCTGCAACGACCCCCTTCAAGGTTTTCTGTGATGGCATGTAATCCCGGACACCTGCAGCTCCGGTATCGGCCATCCAGGGTCGCCTAAAAGGAAGCTCATTACCTAGCTTCTTTCTAATATCCATTGTGCTATATGTAATCTATAATCTACATTTGTTAACAATAACACCTGACTTAAAAATACTCAAAGCACTTGTACCAAAAGCCAGGGTGATTTAGCGATCAGTTGTTCGAGATGGGAGCTAACGCTAAGATGGCAGCGTGCATAAAGGCATCGCTGCGAGGTATCGCGGAGTGGTTCCAGACTATGGCAGCGCCGACACTGCCGCACCGAAGCTGCGTGCACACAAGCTGTGTAGCAAATAGGAAATTATTGTGCCTACCAATAATAAAATGGTTAGGATGCATCATACATGGGGGTGTTAATTTTTTAAGTGCTTTTTTTTTTTTTTTTTAGAAAATCAAAGGGAAGGAAAATTCTATTTTAGTCTCAACTAGCGCCTCCCGTTGGGAGAATCATCAGTATGTTGATGGTGGCGTAGAGTAGAAGTAGAAGTAGAGTAGAAGAAGAGTAGAAGTATATATACATGTACATAGATATGTGATATACATATATAGCAGGAGTAGATAATAGGGTTGCCTATTATTTACTCCTGATATATAGATATTATCAGGAGTGAATAGTAATAGATTATAATAATTATTATAAATATTATACTATTATAATAATAATCTATTATTGTTCACTCCTGATATTATATATACATGGAGTGTATAGATATCATAAAGATATCATATATACACCAGGTGTACTATGTATTATATCAAGAGCTAATAAATACCTTGGGTGTACTATGTCTGGGGGGGGCGTGATTGCTGATGAAATACAGATACGTAGCCTAAAATCTTGAACACAGGTAGGTATATAGAAGTCTATGCAGGCGTTCATGCTATCACAGACACTGTATTATGAGACATCTTTGGCATGACAGTATTTGGCATCAAACATTTATATATTATATATTTATTTCAACGGTGATTAAAAGCAAGTGAGATATGAATAGGGGAAGACCAAGGATAGTTGGCAATGCAGGCACACCAGGAAGAATAACTAGAACTCCACAATGAAGGAGGAAGAGAGGAAGAAGAAGGAGGAGGATGAGAAAAAGAAGAAGATAAAGAAGAAGAAGAAGAAGAAGAAGAAGACGAAGAGCATAAGTGTAAGATATGCATTTGGTTAACACAATTTATTTCCCTAAAATATTATTTGATTACTTTACTCTACTTTATTTACTTTACTTACGAAAGAAATTATCAATTGGCATTACTCTGTCTTGGTTTATTGTTTCTTATCGAACTCTGGTCGTAGCATAAGTTCTTCTTGTCCATGTGCAAATCTACACTGAGCAGATGACAAGGGGCAGCCATCTGGGTGACCAATGTGGAACCAGCACAGCTTAGTTTTATATAACAGTGGCAAATCACAGATGGAGCCACAGCACTTCTGTTTTTTCTTTCGCCTAGTAGGTTCTGTAGTGGAGACGCTCAGGCCACGGCTGAATCTCACATTAGACTCACGCACTGTAACAAAATACAAGATATAACATACAATACCATGATTGATGTGCAGGGAATTTTATAGTGACTTTAATATATACGCTAAATAACAACAAGTATATATATATATATATATATATCAAGAGTGGATAAAAGAGATCTCTTTTATCCACTCTTGATATATATACATGTAAATACATTTGTTTATATACATGGGAATTTACAGGTATATGCTATATTATTACCTGTGAATACATTGTTATGGTTTCTGAGTAATGTCTGAAGGCCTCCACATTCATTCTTTAGCTGCTTTAGTGTTGTCTTGTCAAACAGGGTAGCAACATCTGATATTGGTATAGATCCTGGTATAAGAGTAAAAAAGTGTTAAAAACATGTTAATGAAAATGCAATTACCTCTAATACTGTAAAAAATAAAATATATCATTAGGTTGCTCTTGCTAAATTATCACAAACTTGTGTCGAATTTTAACTCATTACATGATAGAATATATGGTAGGTCAACTGTGGAATGTCAAATGGCCATTAACAAGCTGCTGTTTTGAAAAGATAATGTTATGTTCAGAAGGTCATCCATACCTCCTTGATTCCACATCCTTCCATCTTCCAGTTGTACCGTGTCTGTGCCTCTCCGCAGAAGCTCCTGGGAGATTACATTCACAATGCTGACAATCACTTCTCTGTTGAGTTTGGTACAGTTTCGCACAGCTTCTACGCTGCTTCTAGCTTTGAACTCCTCTGCCCACTGTCCCACCTGACTCGACGCACTACCACACCCATTCTCGCTGCTGCCACCACTGATATCTGACACTTTTGAATCTGAAGGATTTACAGTGCTGGTTTCTGTGGATCTACATGATGTTGCTCTCCCCTTAGATCTGCTACTAATAAAGTCACTTATTCTCTGGCTGACTGCTGCTTGCTCTGTTTCACAATAATTTCTCACCTGCCCGACAAAGCACACCTGAAAGCAAGAGCGAGTACACGTCAGACTGCAGATGGGGCCATTCTAGGAAAAAGCTACATCTGAGATTGACAATTAATAAAACTACATCAGCATTTGCATTCAGATAACAACTATTTATATCAGGAGTAAATAATGTCAATGCGATTATTTACACCCGATTTATATGGATAGAGAATGTCGCATAAGTTTTAACCATGACATACAAATTAGCAGAAATGAGTGCAAGCGATTTCCGCAATGACATGCAGTGTGAAATCTGATGACTGTTGAGAAACTTCACCCGTTTCGTTGAAGGAATTCGCATGATGTCTTCTTCCATGTCAAAGCCGCAGATCTCTCCTATCTCCTTAACATAACTGAGATAGTCGCGGTACTGGCTCATCTTTGAGTTTCTTCTCACAAACTTGCAATCGAAATCATGAGCACAGCATGGCAGAAGAAAGCAGCAGCACTTATAGGAGGACCTGCATTACAATTTATAAACGTAAGACACTGTTTAGTCATAAATATCCCAACTCCTATACTCCCAAATTAAATTTGGCTCTTGCCACTGCCACACGAATTCTGTCAAATTTAAGTATGGTGTGACCAAATAATGATTATAGATTATTCTATTTACATTATTACTGTTTACATTACATAAAATATTATTATTTATTAGAAGTCGTTTATCCATACCTCTTAAAAGGCTTTGATACTATCCCTATTATCTACTTCTGATACTATCATACATAATACAAATCTCAAGGAGACCGGATGATATAAAAGCGCGTGAGTAGTGTGAATTTTAGACTACCTGGCTGCAATTACAGGTATCCAGGGTGTTAACTCATCAGAGTGGTTCCCGATTATCCAGTCATATTCTGGGAAGAGACAGTCATCAGACGGAACTATAGATGACTCACGAAGTACAGTCTCGGGTCCATACATATCCCATATCTTTCGTCTGCGTACATCCAACCCTAACCCTTGATGCTAAAACAGGCAATGGTTAGCATACATTTAAAAGTATCACAGTGTATTTCTCACTATGGTACAAACAAACTTCCTCAATGGTGGCAAAGAGTGTTTCTCTTAATATGCTGGGGTAAACAACAAGTAGGATAACTTTATTACCCCTTCATTCGAAAGGATATAGACTAGAAGCCCATTTCCACAGCCTAAGTCGATGAAGGATTGTTTCTCCTGGATGCCTTTTATAGACCTTTCCTTCTTCCAGATCAAAAGCAAGTATGCTGCTATTGCAACATCCTCATAGACAAACTTCATTGGGTCTGTTGTTTCTGGCCAAACCTGTGTGTGAATAATATGCAAAAACATGTAGCAAGTCAAAATTATCGATATATTGAACTATAATAGCTGTGACATCCACAGGGATAGATAAACACTTTTATATCACATAGTTATACACCATGATAGCACATTATACCTTCCCAAATTCTTTGCCATATGTTTTAGCTGATAGATATATTTTATCTCAACTCTTTCATTAGTCATTCATCGGGACAGCTTACCTTAACAAGTTCTTTGCCATATTTTTGCTTTAGCCGTTGATAGATGGATGTGTACTCATCTACAGACACCAAACGTAGACTGTGGTTGATCACACTCTGATTGGAATCTTGTGTCCATTTGACAAGTCTGGGTAGAAGGTGTTTCTGAAGCCAGCAAGCAGATTCTTGTGATTCTAATCTTAACGTCTCTGTAGGTGGAGTCTGAATTGATATCCTTGAACAAAAATAACAACTGCATCAAGCCAATTTCTTTTTTTTATTTAACTAAGATATTAGATCATCTCACATATGATACACCTTGACACAAACATTCAATAATTAAGTTATAAAAACATCAGATTATAATAATGCTTACCAACTGCCATCTGCATCTTTCCTATATATAACACGGTAGGGATACGTTGGTGATGAATATAGTTTGTTCTCATCATCTTCCAGAGCAAAGAGTGGCAGATATGCTGCACAGTAGTTCTTCTTATCTGTAGAAGAACATAAATCTGTAAATTATTACACATGACAAATATTATCTTGAAATTAATTATGGATGACTTCTTCCATGCTCAGATTAGTTCATTCTTATTTACTCGTATAATTGTTTATTCACTCACGTTATTTATTCATACCTTTCAATGGTTTTACGGCACCTAATGTGCCGAGTACACTCGTGTTATCACTTACCTATAACAACAATATCTCGTATCAGGCAGAACCTCTCAGGATGCTTTGGGATTAGATCTCTAACGTACAGTTCATAATCAGACAAAAGGCATTGGTCGCCTTCAAGTTTGTCTGGTAAAGCAGTGCCAGGGCCAGGGGCTGATATTCCAGATAAGGCCTTTTCAATTTGATATTCCAGACATTTCTTTCGTATTTCGATCTCTGCATTGTCCACTTCAGTGTCATGTACACATGCAATACGTATACACTCTTCTATAGAGATTAATTTACTTACGACACGAATGCCACATAACCTTCTATTAATTACATTAGGCTTCTCGGTCCACACTTTAATCGCTTTCTGAAACCTGTCTGGTGTTGATAGTTGGTTATCCAAATAGAGTTTACATTTTTCTACCCATCCATCGTCTGAATGCTTGAACCAATTTAACGGCATTGCTCAGAGTTTTCAGTTATAATACTTTAACATAAAAGATGTAAATGTTCAGGGTAAACCGCACACAATAACGAAATTGTATAACATTAACAACTCGTACAATTTTATCAACATCATATGGACGCTGACATATTGAGAACAGCGCCAGCTAGCGAAGACGCTGGAAACCTTTGCTGGAAACCAACCGTGTATTGACGTCACTTTCCACGTGCTTCAGTCTTCCATGCTGGAAACCTTGGCCGAAAATGGCAGGGAAAGTTTCTGTGGAAAATGACGGATCTGTGACACAAGAAAGCTCACAAAAGGAGTTGAATTCTGTGGCCAACGATCAGCAAATTCCCATTGGAAATGGTGGGCATGAGGTCGATTCTGGTGAGGTTCTACTTTTGCAGCTGTTCTAAAAACTCGTTATTGAATGGGTGTTTGGAATCATTGACATTGATCAGTTCACCTTGGAGGTTAGAATCATAGAATATGCCGTACAGAATATGCGGTATAGTTGTACAACTTTCGAGTTGCTGTACATTTGTTTCTGGCATGCACACACCCGTATTAATTGTGATTATAGATTAGTGTTCACCGTAATATCTAGAATAATGTATGCCCATGCTTGCTCAGTTGCTGCTAGTCAGAAGAAAATCAATTTGCAGTACGGTACTTGTCTTGAGTTAGTCTATCATTCATACACTGCATTATCATGATTAATTTTATGTGCTAACATTACAGAGTAGGTGGTCTTCTCTGTACATTATTGTGTCTAGCCCGACCAGGCTGTGTGACTAACGTCAATATACACAGCCTGACATTCATTCATTGGATAATCTTGTACCTCTACAAAAACTGCCAAACAATTAGTGAATTACGTATATCTCAAATAAAATAATCATCTAAGCATTTCTGCCTTGTTTTGTATCAAGTATAACCTTCACCTTATAAGTTATAGTATTAGTATTCCAGCGTTGTTATTTAAAAAAACTAATACCTCAGTTTTCTGTGCACAGTGTAAATTTAAAGAGCCAAACCTAAATTTCACTTTAACTGCCAACCGCCATGTTTCCACTGTGCATGCGTTTCGATCGAAACGCGGAAAACCCGAAACGACATAACCTACCATAGCGTTGCAACTCGCGTTGGTGCGAGCATAAATAAGCATCATATACTCGTATATATATAAATATTAAAACATTGAAAACCAGGAAACATCAATCTACAACAACTTAATAATTATCATTGCGAAGATATGTACTTGCCTTGGGTTTAGGCCTTCGCACTGTGAAAATCGGGTCCATTGCTGATTTTAGTCGCACCGAACATGGCGGACATGGCGGCTGTCTGGTTGTTTTCATCCAATTCATCTCAGAAAATACGGCATAACTCGATAAATAAGTAGCGCCCAGTAGTGCCCAGTTACCACGAGCACGCCAGAGGTTTATAGATTCGTTTGAACTATTACATGTGACGCTAGCTCTAGCGATGTTTGGATACCTAGCCAACTACAAGTTTTTATGGGCAAGAATTTGAAAGGGTCTTCTAACCCTAGCAAAGACCATTTCTTGGAGCTATAAAAATATTGTGTCTATATGACTATGTGTGCATAGTTTAGTGCAGTGGGCATTAGGTGATTTCTAAATACCGCCACCGCCGCCGCCGGTGGTTTCTAATTCAGTCACATGTCTATGACTACTCATATGTAGCGCAGTAAATCGGTGATTCTTCAAGGGTTTGTTTAATTTAGTTTGACTCAATTGTACGAGTTAGCGTGTGCTAATTCACTTTAAATTCTAATTAAGGCCAAAACAAAATATAGGTGTGGTTACCGTTTTATGCCGGAAAAAAATAGGGTAGGTAGGTAGGGAAAACATTTTATTTTATTGAAACATTTTATTTACGACCCATGTCCGAAGGATGTGTGTTGTGCCTTTTGAAGCAGGAACTGTCCAATTCATATTTGTAATTTTTTTTTACTTTAAATAAAATTGCCAATAAAATGTTTTGGGTCACTGGGAATAAATAGGGTCGGTCGGGAAACGGTAACCACACCTGTATTTTGTTTTGCCCTAACTATAAGATGCAGTATTAGTGTCTATACTATCAGTCTATATCTTGTAAGTTCACTTGCATTCACTATCAGCACAGTGTTGATTAGATGTACATCACTGCAAGTCAATAGTAGTCATTCTTGTTCAGTTGCAATAAGTCTCGTGATTTCCGTAAAGATAATTGTAGATTGCACAGGCAATGGTGCAATCCTATAAGGCTTTTGCAGACTGAGGCCAGCTGATGCAATCCACAAGCTCTGCCATTAACAAGTATCTTGGAGGTTTACAGCAGCAGATAAATTCATTTAAAATAGACTAATTGTTATTTAGTTGGTTTTGACGCACTTGTTTATTTAATCCTGATTATATCTTTTATCTCTCCCTGTTGCTGGTATAACCACATATATCAGTGATCAGATAATCCTCTGTAAGAGTAAAGGTCAAGTGCAATACTGTACGTACCATCAATTCTATTTCTGTGTATTTGATCTTGCATGTTCCTGGCATTTATGAAACTTTGTGCAAAAGTCCATGAAAAGGTCAGTACTCTGCCCTCTCCCCATCCTTACGTCTGTTATACTTATAGCATAAACTTTAATACAGGCATCGGAACAGAATATACCGTATATGCAGGTAACTGCAGTAGTTAATTGGCGGTTTATAACAAATGCACATGTAGTTTTTTAGCTATAAGAATGCATTTATAGATAATAAGTAACACATTTTAGATATGATGGGCCCCTATAAGTTTGAGAAAAGGTAAAATGCTATTTGCTGGTCATTTACCTCATAGGATTAGTTGAGATAAAAGGTTATTTGTTGTTTTCGATGTCTTGCGACAAAAAATACCTGTGGTTATCACATTGAGGATAAAGGGCCATGGTAGAAAAACACATCGTAGTTTAGAGCTTGGAGGTCAAGAGTTCAGAGTTAGGGAGAATACTGGTGTTATGTTGGTTATGTAGCCACAGCAGCATATATATGAGCAATGCTGTTCCATGGCAACTCGTGTTCTTGCACAAGTTCGTGACCGACTACTGACTGTAACAGCCAGCAAGCCCAATTTTAACGGAATCCTGAGCCGTCTGTCTCCATTACCCGTCATAATGTTGGACACATGGTGCACGAGGCTGGGTGAAACCCCAGCTATCCAGTTATGGTGATATATCGGGCTATGGAGGAACCCTACTCCCATTACTTAACTACACATGTGGTAACTGCACCAGAAAGCTACATTGTAGTGCTTGCTGAGAAAAGGGTAACATGAATTCCATTCGAAGTTATAGCATTTGTGATTATTTTATAGTAAGTATGTGAGTCCTGTAAGCTATAGGGCATAAATTACAAAAATTGGTTGTGATTTTGTTTTTGAAGTCTGTAATACTACACATATTGTGTTGACAGTAGATTATACGCCATTTTCTGTACAATGAATCTTGTGGTTGAAAACTGAAAAAGTGTTAAATAATATTTGACCATCGACATTTAGACCCGACGTTGACTTCTGTATATATATGAAGATTACATGACAGGTCTGACAATGCAGCCCTGTATGATTGCGTGAGACGGTGAAGTTTGCCATGGGTTATCACGAAGGCAATATGGAACGGTTGTCCACACCTAGTCATGCCCACTGTATTCTTAGAGGCAGCGTGCAAGTCGCTCCATTTAACAGCGACCAGGGAAAGCCCACGACGCAGTCTCTCAGCTGTGATTGCGCTCGTTGATCGATAGATACGAGAGCAGAGTGCGTGCGATGGTCGGTGCACGTGTCCCCAAGGTTTTTACGCTCCCCCCACCGGCGACAGTCGTGCAGCACGCCTCCCGCGTAACGCGCCGGTCAGAGCTAGCAATCTTGTCGGCGGCGTGCGCGCATTCTTGTGAGCAAACAATACACCCTCACGCGTAGTGCTAGTCACACATCTATTGTGTCAGTATTAAGTATACATATGAGAAATGCGAGCATTATTGGTGGACAAATCTTAACGTGTAAGTTACGCGGCGTGCATTAGCACGTGATGACCGTCAATATTCGTACGTATTTTCCGCTAAGATACAGTCGAAGGCTGCTGCAGCACGGGATGCAAATCGATACATAATGTGTTAGCTAATTAGCAGGAGGCTGTGCCACTGTTTGTCAGATGATGAGGTGTGTGGACGTGTGGGAGGCAGGTCGTGCTTCACCCCCACCCACTTATGCCGTCGCCGTGCAGCCATAGCCAGTGTAGCCTCTCCCCAGCTCTGTCTCACGTGAGTCTATTTTATTCATGCCCCTTCTCGTTCTGCTCTCAAGAATAGAATGGCACAGAGCTTTCTGTCTAGAAGTGGTCGTATCGCGTTCGGTAAAATTTCGTGTTTTATGGGCGGTAATAATGTGTTTTTAGCTGTACATTGTAACGTCGCTGCACTTGTTGTAAGTGAACTAGCCACAGGAAGCTAGACTGCTTATGTACCCTGTGCAGCTCTGGTATGCTTCCGATTTCATACGTCATGTGCTATCAATTTTTCCACTTGACACTATACTAATGTTTCATTGGGGTATGTTTCTGTGACGATCACTAGCAGTGAGACTGGCCCCCAGCTCGATTTTGCATTGGGGCAGATAAAGGAAAACATATCCCTGAAGGAACAGCGGTGCTGGTCTATGTCGCCACTCGCAACCAACTCGCAGAGAAATTCGAATTGGCAGAGCGTAAGACTCGGCGGAAGTTTGTACCACGTGTTTTTCCAACACGCGATATGATTCGCTATATATGCAAATGACATGTTTAGCAATGTCTCGGCGATTTTTACGATGTATCGGGGAGGGGGGGGGGCTGAAGCTAGCGTGTAGTGAAAGAGCGGGCGTTAATCGCACACACATGGCATACTCATGGTGTTGCAGCCGTACCAGATGGTTTAAAAAAAAACTAGCCATCATTACAGATATTTTTACTCGGCAGGGGTGAAAAAAACTGGTTTTGCGTAGCGTCCCGTCTCATGTCGTTGGGGTCATAATTGTGAGCGCGGCGGCAGTGGCGACGGCGGGGCGACGGCGGCGGCACTGGCCGCACCACGTGTGTTCAGGTCTAGCTGTTCTCCCCCATCCACCAGCCAGCTGTCTCTGCATTTACCCACTAGACTGTGTCCAGTAACCATTATGCACTGCCGATTGAAGAAGAACAATAAACTGCTAATAGCGTGCTGTGAATTTCATAGCTCCGTGTCTCGTGAATGTTAGTTGTTACTGTTAGGGGCATGTCGATTATGCATGCGTATCCTCTCCACGCACACTTGTGTGCATGCACCCTTGCGTGCATACACCTTTGGTCCTTGGATCAAACCGGCATTCAGTCTTACAGTCTTGCGTAACTGGATTTGCGGTGAAGGGGATTGGCAAAAATAATAATCGTGAACTTACTCGTGTTTTTCCGTGGAAACCAGAGACAGTCAGAGAGAGCCCCTCGTGGTAATATATATATATATATATATATGCACACGTGCAGTTGGAGAGGGCTTGAGAGGGAGCAGACATAGCTTAAATAGTTCAGCTTCTGTTTCTCTATTAGAGAGGCATTTGAAGATCCAGATTCACAAGTAGGTGCGTGCAAAGCAAGCATCTCATAGGTATGTGCGTGCGTGCGTGCGTGCGTGCGTGCGTGCGTGCGTGCGGGCGTGCGGGCGTGCGTGCGTGCATGTTTGTGGATGCATACATGTGTTTGTGGATGCATGTGTGTGTGTGCGTGTGTGTGTGAGAGAGGGAGAGAGAGAGAGAGAGAGAGAGAGAGAGAGAGAGAGAGAGAGAGAGAGAGAGAGA